CTGGAGTCCCGGGATCGAGTCCCACATCGGGCTCCCTGCTCAGCGGGGAGTCTGCTTCTCCCTCTGACCCTCCCTCCTCTCATGTGCGCTCTCTCTCTCTTTCTCTCTCTCAAATAAATAAAATCTTTAAAAAATAAAAAATAAAAAAATAAAAAATACCGTACAAGGTAAACAACTCACCAGCTGGATTCAGCCCAGAATCACTTACAATTTTGCAAATCATTAGACTGACAAGGAGAACAAAACATTCTAAAGTAGTGAAGCACTCTAACCATTTATAATATTAAGAATTTGGGGAAATCTGGCTGTGAAGAGCCAACTGAGTCATGAAATGTGGATCTTTTTATAATTTTTCACATTCTTTGTCAAACCAAAATAAACATACATTTTAAACTTCTCGTTACCCAAAACAGAAAGGACAGTAATAGATACTGCTACTTTCACTCAACCCCTTCCTCACGTCCAAAAAAGACAGAACTAAGTCAACTTTTAGAAAAGATACAGCAACGAGACAAGTCAAACACAATTAAAACCATAACAAATCTGCACTTATGACAAAAATGAAGGGGCACAGAGTGCAAGGCTTACCCGTTTGAGATGAATTGTTTTCAATGTCACCGCACACTCAGATAAAGCCTATGAAAAACAGGTGTGAGAATTTTAATACACTCAATTTTTGGTTACTGATCCCACTTGTCTCTTTATTTCCCTGGCCACTGCTCATTAACAATTACTCCCAAACAAGGGACAGAGGAAGGAAAGTGACAGGCATATGGAATAAGTGGGTTGGATAGAAAAAGGAAAAAATACAAAAATGCTGTCTTAATGCAGTATATCAAATCATAAAGTCTAGTTTTTACTAGGTTTTGGGGAAATGAGTAAAGGGCACTGCTTGACATTAGTATTCTGAAAATGGGATCTAGGGAAACTATCATCCAAGCAAAAAAAAGTTACTCTTCATGGTTAAGAAAAAAACCATTAAGTGCAAAGTTTAGAATGAAAGTAGTAGAAAATTAGTAACTCAATCAAGTTTTAATGAGTGCTTGTATCATGTACCCTTTCATGGTTCTAGAAAAAGAGGAGTTGGAGGCTGTTAAAGTTGAAGGAGCTGGATTTTATATTTTAAACTTTAGTATCAGGATTCAGTAAGAATCTAAAAAAGGTCCAGAAGATATCATCAACCTTTTAAAAATGAATCCTAATTTGAAATTAATTTTAAAAAAATAATGGCAATGAGACTAATATAGTCAACCTGGCATTATAGAAATTGTGAGTTAGAATACACAAGATGGACACAAGGCAAACAAAGATTCCTAGGTGCTTACCAACACTGTTTGTGCATCTGCCAGGTCAAAGGTTTGTTTTAAAGGTGCTAGGAAACATGCAGGGACAATGTGCTTATAAACAAAATCAGCAAATCCCACTGGTCCATCTTTACCTCCTGTCAAGAGAATTCAAATTTTCATCTTGTATAAAAAGAAAGTCAATTAGTTATCACTGGACAAAGTTAACTCCCAGCTCCTATGTTAGAGCTAGGGTTCCATCTCTAAGGGTCTTAGGAAACAGGTTGTGGAATTAAGTTTTTTTTTTTTATTTTTTTTTAAATCCTCTTACCCCAGAGTTCTACCAACTTGGAGAGGATGATAAAACATGTCTTCTGTGCAATTGGATCTGGATATTCAACTGCTCCTTGGATAACAGTAACCAGCACTCGTTCTACATTCTCTGCACCTGAAGAAAGATAAAAACTTGGTTTAATTTTGAAGATTTTAGAGAGAGAGAGAGCATGACTGGGCGGAGGGGGGAATCTTCCAGTAGACTCCCCACTGAACAGAGAACCTGACGTGGGGCTCCATCTCACAATCCGGAGATCATGACCTGAGCCAAAACCAAGAGTCCGACACTTAATGGACTCAGACACCCAGGTGCCCTAAGCTTAATTTTAAAAAGAGCTAGAAAGGCAACCTGAAGCACTCACTTTGTTGTTACTTTTCTTTTAAAAGATTTTATTTATTTATTGGAGAGAGAGAGAAATGGAGCAGGGGGAGGGGCAGAGGCAGACTCCCCTCTGAGCAGGGAGTCTGACATGGGGCTAGATGCTGGGACTCCAGGATCATAAACACTTAATTGACTGAGCCATCCAGGCACCCATCATTGTTTCTTTTAATTTTTATTTTTGGGTAATTCACTTTTATTTTTAAAAATTTTAAGTTATTTTTTTAACTTAAATCTTGGGTAGTTAACATACAGTGCAATATTGGTTTCTGGTGTATAATTCAGTGATTCATCACTTACATACAACACCCAGTGCTCTTCATAACAAGTGCCCTCCTCAATACCCATCACCCATCTAGCCCATCCCCCACCCACCTCCCTCCATCAACCTTGTTATCTACCGTTGAGTCTTTTATAGCTTCTTTCGCTCTTTTTTCCCCATTCCCATATGTTCATGTTTTTTAAATTCCACGAGATCATACAGTATTTGTCTTTCTCTGACTTATTTCACTTAGAATACACTCTAGCTCCATCCATGTCAATGTAAACAGCAAGATTTCATTCCTTTTTTTTTCTTTTTTTAAAGATTTTATTTATTTGAGAGAGAGAGAGAGACACAGCGAGAGGGAACACAAGCAGGGGGAGTGGGAGAGGGAGAAGCAGGCTTCCCGCGGAGCAGGGAGCCCAATGCGGGGCTCGATCCCAGGACCCCAGGATCATGACCTGAGCCGAAGGCAGACGCTTAACGACTGAGCCACCCAGGCGCCCCTCATTCTTTTTGATGGCTAACATTCCATTGTATATATATACCACATCTTCTTTATCCATTCATCAGTCGACATTTGGGCTCTCTCCATAGTTTGGCTACTGTTGATAATGCTGTTATAAATATCCAGGTGCATGTATCCCTTCGAATCTGTATTTTTGTATCCTTCAGGTAAATACCTAATACTGCAATTGCTGGATCATAGGGTAGCTCCATTTTTAACTTGTTGAGGAACCTCCATACTGTTCTCCAGCATTGCTGCACCAGTTTGCATTCCCACTAATAAGTGCAAGAGGGTCTCCCTTTTTCCACATCCTTGCCAACACCTGTTGTTTCTTGTGTTGTTAATTTTAGCCATCCTGACAGGTGTGAGATGGTTATCTCATCTGGTTTTGATTTGCATTTCCCTGATGATGAGTGATGTTGGGCATCTTTTCATGTGTCTGTGAGCCATCTGGATGTCATTTTTAGAAAAGTGTCTCATCATGTCTTCTGCCCATTTCTTACTTGGGTTATTTGTTCTTTGGGTGTTGAGTGTGTTCTTTATAGATTTTGGATACTAGCCTTTATTTGATAAGACATTTGCAAATATCTTCTCCCATTCTGTCGGTTGTCTTTTGGTTTTGTCGACTTTTCCTTGGCTGTGCAGAAGCTTTTTATCTTGATGAAGTCCCAATAGTTCATTCTTGCTTTTGTTTCCTTACCTGTGGTGGTGTCTAGTAAGGAGTGGCTATGGCTGAGGTCAAAGAGGTTTCTGCCTTTGTTCTCCTCGAGGATTTTGATAGTTTCCCGTCTCACATTTGGGTCTTTCATCCATTTTGAATTTAGTTTTGTGTATGATGTAAGGAAGTGGTCCAGTTTCGTTCTGCATGTGGCTGTCTAGTTTTCCCAACACCGTTTGTGGGAGAAACTCTTTTTTCCATTGGCTATTCTTTCCTGCTTTGTCGAAGATCGGTTGACCATATAGTTGTGGGTCCATTTCTGGGTTTTCTATTCTGTTCCATTGATCTATGCGTGTTTTTATGCCAGTACTATACTATCTTCATGACTGCAGTTTTGTAATATAACTTAAAATCCTGAACTGTGATGCCTCCATCCAGTTTTTTCTTTTTCAGAATTGCTTTGGCTATTCAGAGTCTTTTGTGGTTCCATATAAATTTTAGTATTGTTTTCTCTAACTCTGTGAAAGATGCTGGTGGTATTTTGATGGGGATTGCATTAATGTCTAGATTGCTTTGGGCAGTCTAGACATTTTAACAATGTTCTTCCAATCCACGAGCATGGAATGCTTTTCCATTTCTTTGTGTCCTCCTCAATTTCTTTTATAAGTGTTTTATAGTTTTCAGAATATAGATCTTTTACTTCTTTAGATTTATTCCTAGGTACCTTATTGTTTTTGATGCAATTGCAAATGGGACTGATTCCTTGATTTCTTTTTCTGCTGCTTTGTTATTGGCATATAGAAATGCAACAGGTTTCTACACATTGATTTTATATCCTGTGACTTTGCTGAATGAATTCCTGTATGAGTTCTAGCAATTTTTTGGTGGAGTCTTTCAGGTTTTCTACATAGAGTATCATGTTGTCTGCAAATAGTGAAAGTTTGCTTCTACCTTGCCATTCTGGATGGCATTCTTTTATTTTTTTGTAGTCTGATTGCTGAGGCTAAGACTTCTAATACTATGTTAAATAGTAATGGTGAAAGTGGATATCCCTGTCTTGTTCCTGACCATAGGGGAAAGGCTCTGTTTTTCACCATCAAGGATGCTATTAGCTGTGGATCTTTCGTATATGGCCTTTATGATGTTGAGGTATGTTACCTTTATCCCTACTTTTTTGAGAATTTTTTTTTTTAAGATTTTATTTATTCATTGGAGATTGAGAACACAAGCAGGGGGAGAGGCAGAAGGAGAAGCAGACTCTCTGCTGAGTTGGGAGCCCGACATGGGGCTCGATCCCAGGACCTGCAGATCATGACCCCAGCAGAAAGCAGAAGCTCAAACATCTGAGCCACCCAGGTGCCCACTGTTAAGGATTTTTATCCGGAAAAGATGCTATGTTTTGTCAAATGCTTTCTCTGCGTCTATTGACAGGATCATATAGTTCTTATCTTTTCTTTTATTAATATCGTGTATCACACTGATTGACTTACAAATACTGAACCACCCCTGAAACCCAGGAATAAATCCTACCTGAATGTGGTGACTAACTCTTTTAATGTACTGTTGAATTTGATTTGCTAGTATTTTATTGAGAACTTCTGCATCCATGTTCATCAGGGATATTGGCCTATAATTCTCCTTTTTAGTGGGGTCTTTGGTTTTGGAATCAAGGTAATGCTGGCTTTGTAGAACGTGAAGTTCTCACTTCATGTAGTGTAACAAGATCCCTCAATTTTTTTTTCTTCTTCCCTTTTTTTTTTTTAGATTTTATTTACTTATTTGAGAGAGAGGGAGAGCACAGAGGGAGAGTGACAGGGAGAAGCAGCCTCTCTGCTGAGCAGAGAGCCCGAAGTGGGACTTGATCCCAGGACTCCAGAATCATGACCTGAGCCAAAGGCAGACGCTTAACTGGCTGAGCCACCCAGGCATCCCAGATCCCTCAATTTTTATTAACTTGGCTCCTAAATTTTAAGCATAAAACATTGAAAAGTAACTAGTCCCATGTTATTTTGCCCTCTGGATTTCTTGTATGGCAAAATTCTCTATATTGATTGATACAGTCCCATTTATTTTTAATTTCAAAATAGCAAACTGGCCAGTAAGACTCAACTGTCAGGTCAATGCTGGCAAGCTGCCACCATGCTATTTATACTACTGAGGAATCGATTAAAGAATACTGCCCTAGGAAAAAGGGAACTGAATACAAATTAATTTTAAGGTAGATCCTCTACATGAAATTGATTCCCACCTTGATGATAATGAACTGTCACCCCAGAGGCAAACATACAACCACTTTAAAAGTTTGGTATTTACTTTAACTAGCTCTTGCTTATACTGACGTACAACAGCGACAAGGCCTGAAGCAGACAACCTCAGCATCCCACCTTGATTTGCTATGACTTCGCTCATTCCACTGCCTGTGACTGTTTGCAGGAAAGCAAAGTAACTCCTTCGTAACATTTGCTTCTCTAAAGCAGCAGACTGGTCATTTTCTTCTGCTGGTCGGAGCAATACCTCAAAAATTGCATGAAGTAGAGGCATGAACATTTGCTGTAAAAATGGAGATACCTGTATCTGAAGATAAAAAACAAATTACTATTTCAGAAATGTGAAAGATAAATACTAATATGAAAATTAGAAAACCACATTTTACATAAAGCCTTTATCCAGTGTTTCTAGTTAGGATATATATTTACATAATTCTGTCGGCAAATATCAATATTATGACAAAAATCTGTATATGCATATACATTACTGAAATCTTCAAAATTGTTAAGTTCAACTCATTTCTTACAGTTCAAGATTCAGGTTAAAATAATAGGGATTCAGATGTATTTCACAATTGAATATCACCATAGAATATTTTCAAATTTAAATTATCAAGAAATGAATTCTATTGCTAAATTACAAGTAGAATTTATATGATTGGGCTCTCAAGGCTTTTTGTGCCTCGATGCAAATTGCTTAATTTCTCGGTCTCAATTTCTTCGTCTATAAAATACAACAGTTCTCTCTAGGGCTGTTAGGAGGATCAAATGAATTAATGTACAAAAAAAGGCTTAGAATGGATTTTGAATAGAAAGCACTATGTGTTAGTCATTTTTATCAGCCAGGTTATACTTGGTTTACATTTTCTTGTACAATAAAACTGACTTTAGTACACTGAATGAATTTCAAACTCCTGCTTGGGCACCCAAGTTACAAGTTTTTATTTACCTCAAGATATTTTAGTCCTCGATGCTATTTTCATTTGCTTTTCTAAAAGAGCAGACTGTTTTCTTCTGCACAGGGCAGATAAGGTTTGTTTTGATTAAAACAACCATTCAACATGGCCTATGTGTCAGGCAGTGTGCTAGACACTGGAGAGGACAACAATATATATGCTCCATGTCCTCAAGTGACTTAGATTAAAAAAAAAACAAAACAAACCCAAGGGCAAATGCCAAAATGTATCTAAAGATCAATAGATCTAATTTGTCAGGAGATTCTCTGAGCCCATACGTCTGTGGTACCTTAAATTTGGCTGTAATCTGGTTGATAAGAGGAATGAACTCCTGGAGGTCTTTTCCTTCACAATCTTTGAGCATGTGTTCTGAGGCAGATGGGATGAATGGAAGAACTTCTTCCTCTAGGCAAATAATCATGCGATGAAGGAAAGTACGAACTCCACTTCTGAGAATATCCTTTTGCAGGGGACAACTGAGGGCTGGCAAGAACGTCTGTAAACAATCCAGATAAACTTCGGAACAGCCACACTGTTTCACAGTCTGTTTGTTGCTGAAAGCTTTGCTGGTTCGGCTACACAAGCAAAATCAGGCAACTAGTTTTAACTTTAGGCTTATTAAAAGTTTTATGGAGTAATGAAAAATAATGCACAACCAACTACACAATCGACAAAAATAAGAAGCCAATTATTTAGTTTCTATAACATGACTGCTTCCATCTTTCGCTAATATGGTTATTTATATACTATTGCTTCCAGGTCCCATTCCAGAAAGGGTTCAAATTAAATGAGTGAGAGGTAATTAATATAAGCCTTCTAATGAGAACCCACCTAAATGTTTTACTAAAATCCTACTGATGAAGTATGCAGAAGAGAGAAAAAAAAATCCACTGCTATGACTGGGCTGTACTAGACAACCTGCAAACACTACTGATTTAAATTTAGAAAAAATCCTTAGAATCAAGTTATTTATACGACCTAACATTAGCTTTTGCACTGAAGTATTCTGTACAGCAATTTCTTTCTGTAGCTTATTAGCAATTACTACAACTTTCATACTGTTGTTTGCCAATAAAACGAACGGGCAGAGAGAAAGAAACGGCAGCTTGGGTAGTCTTCAGGACACGAGAGAGCTAAAAAGAAGCCTCAAGACTTTATCAGTACCAAGACTGAGCCAAGATGTCCCAATATGTCATTGTTTACATAAACTCTCCAGCTAGGGACGCCTGAGTGGCTCAGTTGGTTAAGCATCTGCCTTTGGCTCAGGTCATGATCCCAGAGTCCTGGGATTGAGCCCCACGTCAGGCTCCTTGCTCAGTGGGGAGCCTGCTTCTCCCTCTGCCTGCTGCTCCCCCTGCTTGTGCTCTCTTTCTCTCTCTCTCTGACAAATAAATACAATCTTTTGAAAAAAAAAACAAAACTTCAGCTAATCCCCCTAAATACATGATCAATTTATACTAAAGAAGTCAGAAGAGTTAAGGATTTAGACAGTTGTCAAACCAGAAATGCAGAATATTATGTGATCTATTCCCTTCTTCAGCTAAATCTTCTAATTCACTGGATTTAGAGCTTATTTGGAGGTTCTAGCAGGGGAGCGCAGCTACTCGTATACCCTTGACTGAAGAACAGTCCTCTCCTCTATCGGGGAAGGTCGTCCTCTTCGACCGAGCACGCAGCTTCGGGAGGGACGCAAATGGAGCGGTGAGGGAGGAAGGGGACACCCGCCTAGCCAGCCAGATCAGCCGAATCAACCCTGGCGATCAATGGGGTGACAGATGTTGCAGCCAGATCGCCCTCACATCCTAATTCACTGGATTTAGAAAAGAAAGGTTTAGATAATTCTCTCGACAATTCAGTTTTCAAAACATGGATGTGTGTGCCTAAAAGATCCAAGTAAATGGTTCTGTGTGTACAGACACTCAATTTACAATTTTAATTATAATCACACTCACCTGGCAAATCCAACAGCATGGTTCAGACAGTCTGCTAGTGATGCCTGTCTTTCTTCATCTTGTGCCAGCATCAATTTTTCTAACAGAATTTTAAACTTCTCCATTAGTGGGGTCAAAAGATTTCTCATTAAGGCTTGTTTCCGTTCAGCTGGATATTCACTATTAACAATCAGCACTCCGGCTGTCTCATAAATAAAGAGCTGATCATCACTGCTCAACAAAGACTGGTAACCATTCTCCTAGAAAGAAATTTAGTCCTATTGGTGTTTATCACTGTTCATTCAGTTCCTCTCATTTAAGCACAGTAAGTCCAATAGGACTAGGAGATATAATCACATCAATGCATTATTAAAAAGTAGATCAAGTACTTATAAAAAACAAATTTTCTCCTAGGACCATATAATGGAAAGAAAACTGAATTCGAGATCAAAAGGTCATGGGTCTAATTCTGTTTTTTTAAGATTTTATTAATTTATTTGACAGAGACAGACACAGCGAGAGAGGGACACAAGCAGGGGGAGTGGGAGAGGGAGAAACAGGCTTCCCGCCGAGCAGGGAGCCTGATGCGGGGCTCGATCCCAGGATCCTGAGATCATGACCTGAGTCAAAGGCAGATGCTTAACGACTGAGCCACCCAGGTGCCCCTCATAGCTCTAATTCTACCCTTGATAAAACTTTGCAAATTATCATAGAAAATTTTAGGTAGCCTTCTAACTTGTTCTCGCTATCATTTTTTAAAGACTGAATTTATTAGAGAGAGAGAATGAGAGAGAGAGCATGAGGGGGGGAGGGTCAGAGGGAGAAGCAGACTCCCCGCCGCGCAGGGAGCCCAATGTGGGACTCGATCCTGGGACTCCAGGATCATGACCTGAGCCGAAGGCAGTTGCTCAACCAACTGAGCCACCTAGGCGCCCCTAACTTCTTCTCTTTTGTAAAAATCTTATTTGTAAAACTGTTACAAGACTAAAAATGAGATGTACAAAGGTGCTTTGAGGGGTGCCTGGGTGGCTCAGTCGGTTAAGCGTCTGCCTTTGGCTCACATCATGATCCCAGGATCCTGGGATCAAGTCCCACATCAGGCTGCTTGCTTGGTGGGGAGCCTGCTTCTGTCTGCCACTCCCCCTGCTCATGCTGTCTCAAATGAATAAAATCTTAAAAAAAAAAAAATCTAGACTTACAACATAAATTATGTGGTAATTTTATATAATGAATACCTCATCTAGGGGCACCTGGGTGGCTCAGTTAGTTGAGCATCTGACTCTTGATTTAGGCTCTGGTCATGATCTCAGGGCTGTGGGATCGAGCCCTGCATCAGGATCTGCGCTTGGCAGGGAGTCTGCTTGAGATACTCTCCCTCTTCCAACTGTCTCTCTCTAAAATAAATAAATCTTTAAAAAAAAAAATCCTCATCTATTAAAAGAAGCATGTCCCTATATAAAAGTAGCTAAAGCATTTAAGTACCACTAAGACTAATTACTGCTGTATCAGTTGAGAACACAAAGATAAAGTAGCTATATAAGGAACTTAAAAAATGGATACTCAAAACCCTATTAAGCAGACAACATCCGGTAAAAGCAATTTGAACAAAGCCTTTTTTTTAATACTAAAAAGAGATTACAGGTATAGTACAAGCCCTTGTTTATATGAATGGTATAAAAAACATGAAAAACTTCTAATATTGCTAAGATAATATGGCTAAATAGTACTTTTCCTTTTTTTAAAAAAATATTTTATTTATTTGAGAGAGAATGAGATAGAGAGAGAGCATGAGATGGGGGAGGGTCAGAAGGAGAAGCAGACTCCCTGCTGAGCAGGGAGTCCGATGCGGGACTCGATCCTGGGACTCCAGGATCATGACCTGAGCCTAAGGCCGTCGTTTAACCAACTGAGCCACCCAGGCACCCAGTACTTTTCCTTTTTAAGTAGGCTCCATGCCAGCGTGGAGCCCAACACGGGGCTTGAACTCACAACGCTGTGATCAAGACCTGAGCTGAGATCGAGTCAGATGCTTAATGGACTGAGCCACCCAGGTGCATGAGGACTTTCTGAATGCCTAAGTCTTATAGGTCAGTGTGAACTGCCATGGAAAATTGGCATTAATCGGATGAAATACTTTAATATATAGGTTTTTGTAATATGCAAAAATAATTTAACCATATAATTCATTAGCAATCTTTCATGCAGTGAAATTATGTAACCGCTATACTCTAAATACTAATATTTACTTAAAAGAATAAAGGTATTTTTGTGTTTAACATTTCTCAAGTGGCTGCTCTAGTAGCAATTTTATCAAAATGAAAAAATTGAGTCAATGTCAGTATACAAAAACATGTAGAAGTTAAAACAAGTTACAAAGTATCTCAACTTAAATATTTCTTGTGAAATGAATACCAAAATATCAACCAGCATTTAACCTTTACCCAAGCTTTAAATTACCCCCCAAAAGTCAATCTAATGGTAGCAGTCACTTAGAATGGCTAATATGATCTTATACTAAACAGGAAATAATTTAGAAATTTAATTTTTCCTTCTCCATACACTACTTCAGCATTTAACAGAGAGAGCAGACCATATCTCACTCTGCCAAATTTATCAGTCAACTCCTTTCCGTTTTTATTTTTTTTACAATTTATTTATTTATTTGGGGGGGGGGAACAGAGGGAGAGGGAGAGAGAAACTCAAGCAAACTCTGCGCTGACTGAAGAGCCTGATGGGGGGCTCGATTCCACAAACCTGAGATTATGACCCAAGCAGAAAAACACTTAACTGACTGTGCCACCCAGGCGCCCCTCCATTTTTATTAATTCTATTACTATGCTTTGTTTGCTAATCGCAACAGAATTTTGGTAAACAGAACTAACTAATCCTTGTATACAACATCCCTGCCACCACCATCCACCATTAAGAAAACTGCCCACAAGACATTAGCATTAAAGGCTAAAGGCATGTGTGGCATCAATGATACTGGGGGAAAATCTGTAATTTGGAAAGACAGATACTTACAGGTGGAGAAAGCTCTAGTAAATCTTGTATTCTATTCAGAATATCCTCAATAAAAGGGTTCATTTGTTTACTGAAAAAAGGCAAAAAAGGAAAATCACAATTATGTAAACCATCGTGCTCAAAATACCAAATTTCCTTTTAAAAAGGATGGAACTAAAAACAGGTTCAATTCTAACCTAGTCAGATGTAATCATTAAGACAAGCTAGGATTTTAAAAAATTACAACCTTAGAAGCCTAAGAACAAGTAGTTTTCATGCCAAGAAAATGGTACTAGTAAAAACAATACAAAACAGAAAGGTCAAAAAATTTATTTCCAAGAAATATATTCTTTAGAATTTCAAAGAAGCCATAGAGTAATCCACAGCAACAAAACTGTTAGTTAAATAATTATGTCATTAGTGATGACAGGTATTACATATAAAAGTATGCAAACAAATCACTTTGCAGTGATGAACCTGGCTAATGAACAGTAAAATAAGTCATAACATGATACCAAAAAAGAAAACCTAATAAAAAGCCTTAGAACAAAATCCAAATCTACCACAGGCTTTTAGAAAATAATTTAGGTCTCATTTAACAATCTTAGAAACAAAAAGTAAACATAAGAGTTGACATTTAGTACTTACTTCAGAGATTTGACAAATCTGGAAAACAGGTAAGCAGTTCTGCTCCGTACTTTTGCACTAGAATGCCGCAGACCCCTATGATCTAAGAAAGCCATCTAAAGAAACAGAGACACTATTTCTGCACTTGTTTAAAATTTTTATTGGTATTGTCACAATATATTTTTGTTCACATCAAATTTTACTTCTTAGCTCCTGGATGGCAGGAGCCAGGTATATATATTAAGTAATCCTTAAGGACACCAATAGGCCCTTGAGGACTTGTTTTAGATGAATGATTAAGCCAGAAACTGTCCATTTTAAAAAAATAGAGGGGTTGGTTTCAGTATATTCGAGAGTTTCTGGGAGGGCGCCTGAGTGGCTCAGTTGGTTAAGCGACCTCCTTCGGCTCAGGTCATGATCCTGGAGTCCTGGGATCGAGTCCCGCATCGGACTCCCTGCTGAGCAGGGAGTCTGCTTCTCCCTCGGACCCTCCCCCCTCTCATGCTCTCTATCTCATTCTCTCTCAAATAAATAAATAAAAATCTTAAAAAAAAAAGGAGTTTCTGAGAGCTTTTGGTTCTGGAAAAAGTTATAAAGACAGAATCTTATCTGCTCATTAGCTGAAATACATAGAAATCCGCCCCCCACCAGAAACGGAGAATAAATGGATACTTACTAGTACACATGGAATGTGTTGAGGTTCAACTGTGAAAAACTTTTCATATCTAACAACAGTTTCGAAGAACTCCAATGTCACAGATGTATGCTGATAGGAACTAACTCCTGATGTTACCAACTGGGCAGGAAAAAGTTAAGAAATCTGTCCTTATTCATTGTAACATCAAAATGCCCCAGTATTAACAGATGCTAAATTAAGGAACTCCCACTAGCTTATAGTGAAAACAAAATTATGTTCAAAATAAATTATCTGTAGTATACTTACAGTTCGCATCATATCCTGCAAAGCACTAGCTTTTGAAACATCACCTGAGAAGTGAGCACCATGAGATACTGGAAGAGCTTCTGCCAACATATACAGCAATCTTATTGCTACTTCAACTTCCATAAAACGTGTAGTCTGCCAATTCCTAACCAAAAGGGAATATGTATGTGAGATCTGAATATAAACATTTTATATAACACCAACAAAAGCCTCTTTAATTATTAAGTCATAGCAATTATTGGGGCTCCTGGGTGGCTCAGTTGTTAAGCGTCTGCCCTCGGCTCAGGTCATGGTCCCAGGGTCCTGGGACTGAGCCCTGCATCGGGCTCCCTGCTCAGCAGGAAGCCTGCTTCTCCCTCTCCCACTCCCCCTGCATGTGTTCCCTCTCTCACTGTGTCTCTCTCTGTTAAATAAATAAAATCTTAAAAAAAAAAGAAGTCACAGCAATTATTAATTTTAACAGGCAACAAAATTTACACCACAAAAGTAGAAATAACTGATGTGATCCATTTCATTGTTTACATTCCAAAGAGCAGTGTTTCCCCACAAGGATCATGATAAATGGAGATAACAATGATAATGGATGGAGCTACAGTGTATTATGCTAAAGGAAATAAGCCAGTCAGAGAAACAAATACCCTATGATTTCACTCACATATGGAATTTAAGAAACAGAACAAATGAACCAAGAGGAAAGAGAGACAAACCAAAACACAGACTCTTAACAATAGAGAACAGATGGTTACCATAGGGGAGGTGAGTGAAACAGATGAGGGGGATTAAGAGTACACTTATCATGATGAGCAATCAACATTATATAGAATTGTTGAATCACTACAATGTACACCTGAAACTAATATAACACTGTTAACTACACTGGAATTAAAAGATAAATGGAGACAAGTGCATTGCTTCAGAGATACATAAAATCTTAATAAGTAACAAAGGTTAGTAAATTATGTGAATCATTTATTGTAGAACATCAACACAGAGAAAAGGAAAGAGGCAGATTCGTTACAAAAACAGTAACAAACTTACTGCAGTGTAGAACTAAAAACTCTGCGCACAGAAGCCAGCAGTAACTCTGGTGAAACTTGAGCAAGCCTGTCCAACAATAACTTCAGTTGTTTTCTATATTCTACAAACATGGCTTCATCTTCACCCTAAGATATATTTTGAAATTCTTATTTTAAAATTTAAAAGACCTTAAATTCATGTAAATGGTTTTCCGCATTTCTAAAGTTAATACGTACTTTTTTCATTAACATTTATTTACACAGAAAAACTTACTATGTTTAGTAGCCTTTCCTCTCCTGCCCACAAATAAGCATTTATGAACACAGCCCTACATCTCAAAAAGCCTAGAGCCAGAAACAGTATAGGGAGGAGGTTAAGGACAAGAATTTAGAGCCAGAATGGGTTCACGTTGGGCTTTATGAAAACTTCACCACCTTATTCATACTCTTCGTATCTTGTAATACCCTATGAATGAAGATACATGTAACAAGCCTGGCTCTTTGTAAGTGCATAATGCTTTGGTTTTCATCACATTATCTTTTTACAGTCCAAAGTTTTTGAATGCCTCAGGTGGGGAACTGAACACTTAGCACGTTGCAAAACAATGTAAGCAATGCTTGAATTGATAGAAAGCACCTGATGATCCTTGTGCTTGAGGGTAAACTGACTCATTGGCAACCCTGGACAAGACTTATAAATGGAACAAGTCCAGAGAGTTAAGTGACCCATTCCCACTCTCCCACAGACACTTATGATCTAAGGTCCACTGACCAGGCCTCAACTCATCACTCTTATTAAATACAAAGTGAGATATGATCACCAATGATACTGTCAATATTTTACAAAGTTCAATGCTACAAAGTGTTTTAAAAAGGGCCAAAATACCAAAAAGGTATTTTCTGAAGGTATTATGAAGGCTTATGAAGCTTCTATTAATTTCACCTAAGGCTGAGGTCAATGATAAACAAGAGTGACTGTTAAAATACTTCTTGTTTTAAAGGACTCTAAAATAATCAAAACTTAAAATGTTAACTTGAGGTAAGTAAATAATGAATTAAAACTGATTTCTCCCTAAGGTAAAATTCTTACCTCATTTTCAAAGTTATATTCTTACCTCATTTTCAAAGTTATATTCTTCATCATAAGTCAGTTTTTTCATAACGGCCAACATGATTGCCTAAAATTAAGAATAAAATGTCTTTTGTCAGTTTCCTCTAACTTGATATACTTTGAAATTAAGCTGTATTTCAAAAGACAGACTGCAGATACAGATTCTGATATTGGTTTATAGGCAAAAAGAAGTCAATTACCTCTACGTTAGCTTTTTGCTGATCTGAGAGCACTGGAAGCTGTTAAAAAGTAAGCAATAATTTATTAGTTTTCCTAAAGTTATACTCGCTTATCAAAATATTTTTCTTTTCTGGGGCACCTGGGTGGCTCAGTCGTTAAGCAACTGCCTTCGGCTCAGGTCATGACCCCAGCGTCCTGGGATCGAGCCCCGCATCGGGCTCCCTGCTCGGCGGGGAGCCTGCTTCTCCCTCTCCCACTCCCTCTTGCTGTGTCTCTCTCTGTCAAATAAATAAAATCTTTAAAAAAAAAAATTTTTTTTCTTTTCTAAGATTTTATTTATGTGTTTGAGAGGGAGCACGAGCGGGGTAGGGGGTGGGATAAGGAGAGGGAAGCAGACTCTCCACTGAGCAGAGAGCCTGACAGAGGGCTCAATCCCAAGACCCCAGGATCATGACCTGAGCCCAAGGCAGACTCAACTATGTAAGCCACCTAGGCGCCCCTCAAAATATTTTTCTAATCAATGAAGATCTTTTAAAACATGCACACGACTTCTGTGGAGGAAGGTTTGGCAGTACCTTTCTATATTTCAAATGCACCTATTCTACGATCTAGCAATGTCATTTCTACTAAATAACTTGACATGTAGATGAATTTCAACTTTAAGGATATTTATAATATATTCACCAAAGAAGTTTATAGGACAGTAAAGTATGGTCTTCCCTTTTTTTTTTTTTTAAGATTTATTTTTTTTTGTGAGAGAGAGGGAGTGAGCAAGCATGAGTGGCAGGTAGAAGAAGAGGGAGAAGCAGACTTCCCACCAAGCAGAGTTTGGGATCATGACCTGAGCTGAAGGCAGACGCTTAACCGACTGAGCCATCCAGGCGCCCTTCCCTTGTTTTCAAACAAGGCAAAAAAAGCTAGAGGTCTGTTAAGAGATACACAGTGGGATTACCAGGAGTCATTTTAACTTTCTTCGTATCTTTCCCATTACCTAAAATTTCTTAAGGTATGTAGGTAGACGTGTGTTACATTTATAACAGTAACACAGAAGTTAATATTTTAAGCTTGACTTGATTTAACTAATCAAATGTAAGTAAAATAGGAATGGTTTTCTCATCTAATGACATAATGGGAAATTACGGATTTTTAAAAGGCTACCAATCGTAATGTGGAGACTGCTACCATCTACTACATTTTAAGTTCTTATTGGAAGCAACTCTCTAAGAGAAAATTTTTAATTGTAAAAAACTGTTTATATGAAATGATGTATATGTAATTAAAATAATGAACAATGTTTAACAAAATTTCTACTGTATTTAAAACAAACACAGGGGCGCCTGGGTGGCTCAGTTGGTCAGTGTCCAACTCTTGATCTCAGCTCAGGTCTTGATCTCTGGGTCGTGAGTTCAAGGCCTGCACTGGGCTCCACGCTGGGTGTGGAGCCTAGCATGGAGCCTACTTGATAAAAAAAGGAAAAGAAAAGGAAAGGAAAGGAAAGGAAAGGAAAGGAAAGGAAAGGAAAGGAAAAATAAATAAAAACAAACAGATTCAAAATGAAAAAATAACCTAAACCTGTAGCTAATTCAAAGCTTGTTAAAGTCTAGTGAATTTTAGAACCTGGTTATTCCCATTTTCTAGCTAAGAAGATGAGTTGGGGGTGGGGGAAATTTTGTTAGCTAGTAGAATTATGGGTATTTCCTTCTTTTCATTTTTCCTCTATTTTCCAATTCTCTATGGTTCGTCTATATTAATCTACTGGGCAAAAAAATTAAAACAAGGACTTACCTGTTTCAAAATATGAAGATAATCATAACAGAATCCAATAATGTTAGAAGAGATGTCATCATCCTCATGAATTAGTAGCTGCAGCATCAGCGCCACTTTTGTTTCAATAGCTTGTAGTGCCTCTTGAGCATTCTTGATATCCCCATTCTTAATTAATTTAGTCCAACTAACTATCAATGACTGTCCCATTCCATTTACCAGCTTAGAAAATCTGGCTAGAAAGTCAACATCTTCTTCCTATTAAGCAATCAAAAGAGACCTCAATTTAAAACCACCCACATAAACAACAAGAACAAAAAAAACTACCCACATAAGAGTAAGAAGAAAAACTCTAAACTTTAGTATGAATCAAGTGCCAGTTATAAACTAACAGACATTTAACCATTCTACCATCTTGACTGAAAAATTTTGGAATTTGAATTCTATTATTAACCACTTGTACTCTTTCAAGCAACTCTTTTTAACGGTTATAGACCTGTAGATATTGCCAAGTTTATAAAAGCTTAAAAAAGATCTGTGGTTTCAAGACCTTCCTTCTAAACTGCTCAAGTTAGTAAATATGCTGTAATCGTTAATAATCGTTAATGTCATAATACAGTATGTGTAACAATTTATAACAATTTGAGCCTTAACTATGCTGCAAGAGATAGAACTGCTGTTACAACTACCTGCCTAAGGTCATACCAGTGTTAAGAGTTGGAACTCAAACTTCAGATTGTTTTCATTAATTATCCTTATGATGTTCTCCTATAGAAAGAGATGTTACCTTCATCATTTTAGGTCTTTTACCACAGACTAAATAAGACAATTATTAGCAACGTAAGAAAACGCTACTATTCTTCTGTCAGCAAGGACAATTCTAGAGCTGTATTACTCACAGAACAGCAAAACAAATATTTCTTAGTAATTTTTTTATCACTGTCACAGGTAAAATAAAAATCTTCAAATTCTGTTTCTAAATTACTTACCACACTCAGAGTCTTCACTCTGTTGGGGCTAAACTCCAACAGCTCAAATGAGTAACAATTCAAAAGTATGGTGAAAATGTAACATTTATAACTAAGACTAGTTTTGGTCAAAATGCACTGCCGTGTATATAGTATAGTTCCTTGCTACTTAAAGTATAGACCAGTAGTATGAGAATCAACTCGAAGTTTGTTAGAAATGCACAACTGCAGGTACTATCCTAGATCTTCAAGTTAATAACTGGTATAATCTACTGTCGAGGACAATGCTACAGATAACATTATGGCTTTCTGGATACAATGTTTCCTTATAGTGGAGGAGAGTTTACAATACTAAAAAAAAAAAAAAGAGAGAGAAAGAAAAAGAAAGCATATTTAAATTAGTACCTGTCCTACTTTGTTCTACTTCATACATAAATTTACTGACCTGGTCAATGCTGAAAAACCCAGCAGACTGTAATACTTGACACAAAGATTCTACTAGTTTCATTTTATCAACAGGATCCATTCCTTTATTTACAATTTCAAATAAACAGTCACATGCTTCCTCCCGCAGAACTTCTATTGACATATGACCTAGCAGCATATTTATAAACCTGGCAATAGGAGGAAAAAATTGTTACAACGTTTTCAAACTCATGAGTTTTATATACTGTATTTTGTAGGTTTCTATCTTTAAAGTATAGGTATACTTACCTATCATTGGCTATAAGGGATAAGTCTATCCAAGAGACATAAGCCCCAACTACTTCAAGGCACTGACATGTCACTTCTGAATTAGTATACTGGTAATTTTGTAAAATTTGGTACCATGATTCCACCAAGTTTGGAATGCACTGCTCCCTCATGGTATCTTTTATTAGAGTATTCCTACGGGCCTCCTAAAAAACAAAAACACCTTATGTGCAAAGTAGATTATCACACAAACTAATTTTTGACATCTGACTAGTTGCACACAGTAATTTCCTCACAATTAAACTTCTAGACTTGTTAACACATTCCCTACTTATCAACTCTAAAATCATATCCTCTGATTCTTTTAATTTCCTTTTCTGTTGTATTCCTCAGAGCAGATTTAATTTCTTATTAAACACAAACTATAAATAAGCATTATTTAGAAATCTAAAGCATATGATAAAAGGTACTTCTCAATACTACACAAACATATTTAAACTACTTAAGAGAATGTAAATTGTTTTTAATTAAAAGAACATTTTTTTGAGTATAGTTGACACAAGATGTTAGTTTCAGGTGTACAACACAGTGAATCAATACCTCTATAAATTCTGCCAAGAATGGCAATAATTTATTTTTTTATTTTTTCGACTTTTTAAAAAGATTTTAAGTAATCGCTACATCCAACATGGGGCTCAAACTCACAACTCTGAGATCAAGAGTCACATGCTCCACTGACTGACAGCTGGGTGCCCCAAGAAAGGCAATAAATTTTTTTTTGGGGGGGGGGAGCAAGAGGGAGAGATAAAGAAAATCTTTAAAAAAAAAAAGATTTTATTTATTTGAGAGAGAGAAAGAGAGAGTACATGTAAGCGGGGGGAGGAGCAGAGGGAGAAACAGACTACCCCCTGAGCAGGGAGCCCGACACAGGGCTTGATCCCAGGACTCTGGGATCATGACCTGAGCTAAAGGCAGATGCTTAACTGACTGAGCCACCCAGGTGCCCTGAGAGAGACTCTTAAGCAAGCTCCACGCCTAGATCAGAGCCCAACACAGGGCTCGATCTCATGACCCTGAAATCATGACCTGAACTGAAATCAAGAGTTCAATGCTTAACCAACTGAGCCAGCCAGGCATCCCAGGAATGGTAATAATTTAAATGCATGATAATAACCTTTAAAGTGATAAGTATGTCTGACATATAATGACCTTAAATTATTATACACATTTGAAACAAGTAATTTCTTTTTTTATCTTTTCTTTTTTCTTTTTCGAATCAAGCAACTTCTATTGTGTTAAGAATACAGAGAAAATGGGCGCCTGGGTGGCTCAGTTGGTTAAGCGACTGCCTTCGGCTCAGGTCATGATCCTGGAGTCCCGGGATCGAGTCCCGCATCGGGCTCCCTGCTCAGCAGGGAGTCTGCCTCTCCCTCTGACCCTCTTCCCTCTCGTGCTCTCTGTCTTTCATTCTCTCTCTCAAATAAATAAAATCTTAAAAAAAAAAAAAAGAATACAGAGAAAGTTATATCGGATAATGAATAGAGAAAGACTAAGGTGATGGGCTTTATGACTGAGAATACAGAAGAAACTAGCATATTCATAAGCAATGATTCCTGCTCACTCAGGAACTGTATAGCAGTAGTAAAAACAGACCACATTTCTCCAGAAATTTGTAAAACAGAACCAATTTGTGTATTTTATTGGAGAAAGTGCTTTCATAGTTAAAAAAAAATCTAAAGTAACACTCTAATTTCAACATACACTTGGGGAAAAAGAAGCCCGGTTCAAGCTCCTTTGTAGAACAAAATTCAAAATGTTGGGTGAATTTAGAGGCACCTGGCTGGCCCAGTTGGTAAAACATGTGACTCTTGATCTCAGGGTCATGAGTTCAAGCCTCACAATGGGTGTGGAGCCTGCTTAAAAAAAAAAAAAAGTAAGTTGGGTGAATTTAGAATTCTTCCTTAAGATTCTGCTTGACAGAGAGAGAGGGAGAGAGAGCATGCACAAGCAGGCAGAGGAAGAAGCAGGCTCCCCGCTGAGCAGAAAGCCTGATGCAGGGCTCAATCCCAGGACCCTGGGATCATGACCTGAGTCGAAGGCAGACGCTTAATCGACTGAGCCTCCCAGGTGCCCCTGAACTTAGAATTATTAAGAAAATTTGAGGGTGCCTGGCTGGCTCAGTTGGAAGAGCATGCGACTCTTGATCTTGGGGTTGTAAGTATGAGCCTCATGCTGGGTATAGAGATTACTAAAAAAATAAACTTAAAAAAAAAAGCCAGAAAGAACAGAAAATCTGTCTCCAAAGAAAGACTGCCTACTCTTTTTATTATGTGCCCATCATCTCCTACAAAATCTACATTAAAAACTAACAATTAATGGGAAGTTACTTGCCTCTGATGTATGCACCACATCACGATCCACCAACTCTGAATCAATAGCCATGAGGATTCGGAGGTACAGATCTACTCCCCTTGGATTTAGGTCCACTACTGAGAGAATATCAAAAAAAAACTTGGGCCACCTAGTGAGATATTCTGTAACAAAAAGCAATGCGAAGACTTGGGCTGCTTTATTTCGTATAAAGGTCTTCTCTGGTTGGGGATTCAGCATCTGACAAAGAGAAATTGTCCATGAAATTAAATGTAAGTTGGAAAATGTTTTCCTATTTACCATCAATAGGCAAAAACTCATCAAGCCTCAACACGGTCTAGATTAGCTGTGCAACAAATATGCGGGAATATTACCGAAGTATTTCACTGATTACCCAGATGGAAAACAAACAAAGGTGCTATGTTTATTTCTTATTCTTACACTTTTAAAGTTTCATGTGCAGAATTTTACTAGTTTTTGGTTCTACTAAATTGTTTTTGTTTGCCCTTTAAGGAAAATAAAAATTCTAGCTACATAACCACTTTATATGTTAAGATTAAAATTAACAAAAAAGAACATAATGTGAATAAAGAACTCTAATAGCTCTCTTGTAAAGGGCTCTTTGTGAAGAGGCTGTCCAGGAGGGTTCACCTTTAGGAGTGAACAAAAATCTGTTTTTGTCAAATAGTTAAAAACAAACAAAAACCACTACCACCACCACCAACAAAAACCCCACCTTAAAACCAAGGTTTCAACAATGTGTCATGGAAAGCATGAAAGTTTCAGTTATTGATATGATTTTAAATTATTGGTAAGTTTTCATATACCCAAGATTTTTGAAATCAGCACTTTCTAAAAAAGCTATGGGATCAAAGGGAGGATAAATGATCAACATTTTCGAGGTAAAGTTCTAAACTCTTACAAAACTAAAGATTTAAATATCTGGTAATTTAAGGTACTAAATGAAATTACTATTTTACCTGAGCTTGAAGCCAAGATATGAGCGTCTCCCTAATTAGTTGTTGTTGAACAGTAGTTAGTTCTGAATATCTGTTCAAAATAGAGAAGAAAAATAATAACAGCTACATTTGGTGTCTGTGGTTTAAAAAGTAACAGCCTCATATTTTTGAAAGGGAAAATTTGTGTATCACTCATTTACTTAAAATTTCCTAAAATAAATCGATAATGCTTCTCATCATGGCTTTAAAGAAAAGGTAGGGGTGGGCCTGGCAGGTAGTGTCATTGATCTTAGTTTGATTTGTGGTCCAGTTCATGTTAAAACAAAATGACAGCTGTGGAATTTCTCAAATGGAAATACGTCTACATTTTGAGGTCTGTGGCTTACAGAATAAATCAATAGGCAAACAAAGGGTCCTCTGAGCAGTGATTCACTGTTTCTGCTTATTTAAGGCAGGGGTTCTAAATCCGAGTGGCCCTGCTGCCACTAACCTCTAACAGAGTTGGCATGTAGAAACAGGTCTGGTGTTGCTAGATCTTCAGATTTTTCCAGAGAAGCGAGAAATGAATTTTTTCTGTGAAATATCTGGATTTTTTATGTAACCAACTAACTCAGTATTTTTACACTTTGGGATAAATCAAAAACACATCTATAAGCTGGATGTGTCTCATACACTCTCAATTTACAGCTTGTATTATGATTTTCCCAAAGAGAAAAACTAATTTAAAAAATGACCTCTCCCCATAAATTTCAGAGTCAAAACAGTGAGAAAAGCCTTACTTGTATTTAACTTGATGTTCTAGTACTTGAAAGCAGAAAAACTTTATGTGATCATCACTGAAAAAGAAAAGAGGAAAATCAGATAAGCAAAATATAATTTAGAGAAAACAAATCAAAAGTAAAGTACTAGGTGAATCACAGTTGAAAAGTTTCTCAAACAAGACCTCTGGCTTATTTTCTACTTATCGATCTCATTTATTATACTGTTTAGAACTTAAATATTACTCCATGCTCAATAGGTCCATTAAAACTGACAAGCAAAAAAATGAAAAAAATTGAGATGCACCTAAGTATGCTGCTTTGCAAACAGAAGGAATTTCCCTAAATTCTAGATGTTAGGATTACTGAAACCACTCCTACACTTTACAACAGAAAGGCTAGGTGTAAAATGACAAATGGTCACACAGCCAGAGACTAAGTCAAATCAGTGATGGTAATTGAAATACCTAAAATCCAATCCTACACAGTTCCATGGCAGCCAAATCCAAAATGAACAGGGTCACTCAGACTGGTAGTTCAGCCTCAAAATTTATACAGAAAACCAAGTTACAAATACACTGCCCTTATAAGAAGGGAGCAAAAATCAGATCTAACAATATCCACTCTCAAGGTCTCTACAGGGGTGATGCAGAGTTGCAGTGAGCCAGCTACAATCTCTGACAAAATCTCTTTAGTAAACAACAATCTGTTCATCCAAGACAGTTGGTTTGGGCCAGGCTTAGTCATGGAAGAAATTTTTCATATATAAAGCTAACTGGTCAATATAAGAGACAATATCTTAACTTAGAATACATGAGTTAACTAAACAAAATAATTTCACACAAAGATGAAATTTAATCTTTAAAAGTTTTGTTTAAGTTAGGTTTAATTAGCACCTCTTCCAAGAACTTAGGGTTCCTGTTTTTTTTTTTTTTTAAGATTTTATTTATTTGAGAGAGAGAGCACATGAGAGGGGGGAGGGTCAGAGGGAGAAGCAGACTCCCTGCTGAGCAGGGAGCCGGATGTGGGACTCGAGCCAGGGACTCCAGGATCATAACCTGAGCTGAAGGCAGTCGCTTAACCAACTGAGCCACCCAGGCGCCCTGTAGGTCTTTTTTAAATAACTTAATTAACTACTATATAAACTAATGAAATGAGGGGCGCCTGGGTGGCTCAGTTGGTTAAGCGTCTGCCTTCGGCTCAGATTATGGTCCCAGGGTCCTGGAATCGAGCCCCACATCAGACTCCCTGCTCAGCGGGGAGCCTGCTTCTCCCTCGCCCTACTGCTCCCCCTACCCGTGCTCTCTCTGTCAAATAAGTAAAACCTTTAAAAATAATAAACTAATGAAATGAGTGTGAGAGTGCCTATTTTTGTAAAAATTAAGTTGAATGCTTCAGAAAGACTTCATAGAAAGTTATATTACAAAAAAGAAAAACCTTAGAACACTAATTCAAAGGGATACATGCACCCCTATGTTTATAGCAGCATTATTTATAATAGCCAAGATACAGAAGCAGCCCAAGTGTCCATCAACTGATAAATGGCTAAAGATGTGGTATATATATACAATGGAATATTATTCAGCCATAAAGAGTGAAATCCTGACATCTGCAATGACATGGATGGAGCCAGAGTGTATAATGCTAAGTGAAATAAGTCAGAGAAAGACACCCTTATGATTTCACTCGTACGTGGAATTTAAGAAACAAAACATACGAGCAAAGGGAAAAAAGAGAGAGAGAGAGAAATCAAGAAACAGGCTCTTAACCACAGAGTATAAACTGATGGTTACCAGAGGGGAAGTGGGTGGGGGGATGGGTTAAGTACATGATGGGGATTAGGAGGGCACTTGTTGTGACGAGCACAGGATGATGGTTGAATCACTATAATGTACACCTGAAACTAATATAACACTGGATATTAACTGGAATTAAAATAAAAAAATTTTTAGGGGCGCCTGGGTGGCTCAGTTGTTAAGCGTCTGCCTTTGGCTCAGGTCATGGTCCCAGGCTCCTGGGATCGAGTCCCGCATCGGATTCCCTGCTCCGCGGGAAGCCTGCTTCTCCCTCTCCCACTCCCCCTGCTTGTGTTCCTGCTCTTGCTCTCTCTCTCTGTCAAATAAATAAATAAAATCTTTAAAAAATAAATAAATGAAATAAAATAAATTTTTTAAAAAGGGAAAAACCTTGTGCATATTTGATGTGGGCTAGATAACCAGAAGACTTGGAGAGGTGGGAGAAAATAACTAAAAGTCTAGGAATGTGCACTAATTGTTCCTCAATCCAGAGACCCAAAGTGGAACTTGTAGAGGATGGATCATGGGTGTGATCAATGTAAGAATGATGAAGTGAATGCTAGTGGAATATACATAAAGGAAAGACCTTGGTCCAATATAAAAAAACTGGCAACTGAATGTTTATATACTTTAAATTAAAAACATAAAATATATACAATTCATGATTACTGACTTCGCCAACTTTTTAGAAAACCAACTATCACTTCCCATCATAAGAAGTTTTTATTGTACTCTCTTCCCGCTGGGATCTGCTGTCAGGTACACAGCCTAAGGTAAAGTCTAGTTTTACTGAAAAGTCAATCCTGGAATGGCCAAATTACTAGTTTACTATTTTTCTCATTTCTACACTGAATGTTTTTCCAAAACACAAGCCATAAATGTTTTTATGAAAACATTTTCCAAATACAGGTCCCACAGAAATTTAAATTCCTCTAAGTCATGCAAATTTTGTTTTATAATTACCTGTATGTCCTCTGGGCTAGAGCTTCTGCACACACTTGCCAGGCATCTGGGGAAATCTTTAACTGCTCAAAATAGGCCAGGGCCTGTAAGATTGCAAAGCCGTAAATGCATTTGGAACAGTCGATCTCAGTGCCCAACTGATATTAAAATATTCTAGGAGTAGCAAACCAATAACAAATCAGTCAACCTGAAGAAAAATAGCTAAAACACTGAATTCTGGCTTCTGAGTAAGTGCAACTACTGACCGTTCCTAGAAAAAAGGTTAAGTAAAAAACAAATTCCATCAGTTAGATACTCAAAGCTGTGTCCTTACAGCAAAGGAGACAACACAAAAATGTCTTGCAGACCTCAATGGGTAATTATGAGTATTATGAGAAAAAATACACAAGTACTTTGTCAAGTGCTATGCTACTGAAGCATATGCAATTATAAAATAGTATATAAAGGGCACTTTTCCTATTTAATAACAAAATACTATTAAAGAGGTGATTATAAAATTAGAGTCCATGGGGTGCCTGGCTAGCTCAGTTGGTGGAGGGTGCGACTCTTGATCTCAGGTTCGAGATCAAGAGGGTGTACAGGATTACTTAAAAATTTAAAAAATCTTAAACTCTTGATTTCGGCTTAAGTCTTGATCTCAGGGTTGTGAGTTCAAGTCCCATGTTGGGCTCTCTACTGGACGTGGAGCCCACTTTAAAAAATTAATTGGGGCCCCTGGGTGGCTCAGTTGTTAGGTGTCCCCCTTTGGCTCGGGTCATGGTCCCGGGGTCCTGGGATCAAGCCCCGCGTCAGGCTCCCTGCTCTGCAGGAAGCCTGCTTCTCCCTCTCCCACTTCCCTGCTTATTTTCCCTCTCTTGCTGTGTCTCTGTCAAATAAATAGATAAAATCTTTAAAAAATAATAATAGGGGCACCTGGGTGGCTCAGTCGTTAGGCGTCTGCCTTCAGCTCAGGTCGGGATCCCAGGGTCCTGGGATCGAGCCCTGCATCGGGCTCCCTGCTCTGCGGGAAGCCTGCTTCTCCCTCTCCCACTCCCCCTGCTTGTGTTCCCTCTCTCACTGTGTCTCTCTCAGTCAAATAAAAAAATAAAATCTTAAAAATAAATAAATAATAATTAAAATAAAAATAAATAAAATAATAAAACTAAAAATAAAATCTTTAAAAAAAACAAACCCAAACCAAAATTAGAGTCCAACTGCATGGTATGAATTTTGGAAAAGTATGAATAATTGAAAACCTTTAGGAAATGTTTCTCATTTCACGAATTCAGGGCATTGTTATAAAAGTAAGTATACTCTAGGGGCGCCTGGGTGGCTCAGCAGGAAGCCCGACACGGGACTCGATCCCGGGACTCCAGGATCACAACCTGAGCCAAAGGCAGATGCTTAACCGACTGAGCCACCCAGGCGCCCCTGAAATCAATTTTATAGGTCTTGATCAGCAATCAAAAAATGACAGAATATCAGAGTGCACTGCCCATAATAAAAATAACTATTATTTTGTGTAAATTGTTTTAGTTGTGTGTGCATATATACTATATATATAAAAAATATAGTTATATGTCTGTCTATACACACACAGAGTCAAGATGTAAAATTTTTTCCTTTATGAGAAAAAGCAAGAAAAGCAAAAAAGCTCTATTACAGTTGTTATGAATGAGGGAATGGGTTTTCATATGTGGTCTCACTGGCTGCTCCCACTGATAAAGAATCAAGTAAATGAACGTAAGCAGATGAAGATCACCAAGTACTATCTTAAACATAAATAATGGTTATCTTGGAAATTAAGAACAGAGGAACCCAGGCGACAACCCAGTTGTTGTCTAACAATATTCCACGAAACCTGGGGTTTCTTTTAGAAACATTTATTGTCCCATTTAAGGGCAAGGTGGAAGTCAATCATGTATGTTGCATTACCACCTAATATTTCACTTACCAAAAAAAGAAGGGGGGGATTCAGCTGCTAGAATTATCAGACATACCGTTTTCTTTAAATAATGGCAAGTTTTAAGCCAAAGACATTGATTCCATTAAAAAAGTAAAAATAACCTGAGAGTTTTCAGGTTTTAAAGTCTGCATTCTGAATGCATGCATTTTTAGCATTTTTATTTTTTTAAAGGATTTATTTATTTGCGAGAGAGAGAGAGCGCGCGCGTGGGGGGAGGAGCAGAGGGAGAGAATAGAGATAATCTCAAGCAGACTCTCAGCTGAACATGCAGCCCTAATGCAGGGCTTGGTCCCTCCACCCTGTAATCATGACCTGAGCCGAAACCAAGAGTCGGAAGTTCAACCAACTGAGCTACCCAGATACCCCATTTACTAGCATTTTTAAGTGAAATTTTGTGGCAATTATGAACAAGTCAAAGCTTTTATCACCTTTTCCTCTATTTCATACCTTTTCTCTAATGCTCTATTGCCTCTAAGTGGCAACAGAGTCACTTCAGCTACTGTCCCTGTAAAAAAAAAATAAACTATAGCCAAACAACTGAGAATTGGAGTTGGCAGACAGTTATCTTATGATCAAAATGGTGGGCACCTGGGTGGCTCAGTCGTTAAGCGTCTGCCTTCAGCTCAGGTCATGATCCCGAGGTCCTGGGATCAAGCCCCACATCGGGCTCCCTGCTCAGCGGGAAGCCTGCTTCTCCCTCTCCCACTCTCTCTGCTTGTGTTCCCTCTCTCGCTGTGTCTCCCTCTCTGTCAAATAAATAAATGAAATCTTTAAAAAAAAAATGAATTAGTGTTCCACTACTCTTGATTTCCAACATCAGAACTATCAGAATTCACTTTCCTTAAGATTCCTTTTTATCCTAATTGTTACTCAGGTTGGCTTAATGGGATATCAAATTAAGCCTGAATTTGGATACTTGACATAAACCTGTAACTGAGAGAACTCGTTTTTATTGATAAAAAGCATAATTTTATATTAAGACCACTAACAATGCACTGGATTTACTTTTCTAAGAAAATCATTGCGCATTTAAAAAATCTGTTGGATAGTGGTATTTAATAAAAAACAAATGATTTCCATAAAGGATCATTAAAAAAACAACAGAAAAGGCTATTTAATAATTAAACAAATAGTAAAAGGCTTTTAGTTATAGCCATGCAATACCAAGGTAAAGATCTATGATACTTCAACTATGTGACTAAGGCTTTGAAGGTAGGTAGCTTAAACTCCTACATAAAGAAATTTGTCTACACACAGAAAACATGGATTTTAAATGTCTTTTGATGTCCTAACTAGTTTGTCAGGTATCTTGTAACTAGCCAGATTATTTAAATCTCAATTCTTGTTATTTACCTTTATGTGTATGGCTGGTTACTTATTTAACAGCAGAGGCATGGAACTATGTGAGAAACTACTTGAGATTTTTTTTACTTAAAAAAAAATTTTAAGTAAAATTTGGGCACCTGGGTGGCTCACTCAGTTAGGTTAAGCATCTACCTTCACTCAGGTCATGATCCCAGGGTTCTGGGGTTGAGTCCCGCATCAGGCTCCCTGCTCAGCGGGGAGTCTGCTTCCCCACCCCCCACTCATACGTGCTCACTCCCGCGCAATCTCGCTCTCTCTCGCAAAATAAAATCTTTAAAAAAAAAAATTCTCCTTAAAAGCACAAAAACTGCAATAATATTTAGTGAGACTGTTACCCTCACTTAGCTCATTTATAAAAAATATCCTTTGCTATGAGAAGAGAAAATGGTTCTCCTTCCACTTACCCTGTATTTCAAAACACTCACATCTTTAAAAAAACTTAATTATAGGCTTATTCTTTAAATTCTTCTTTTATCATTCAGCTATAGCCATGATTACAGGTATAGCCTACATTGTATTTAATTGTTTATATTTGCTCAAATATCCCAGCACCTCATAATGGATTCCTTGTTATCTAACCATTTTATGTAACCTAAGACATGGCATATCATAACCTCTAATTTACATGTCTGCCTGGACTAAATAACAAGGACGCTAAATATCACGAACATGAAGGTTAAACAACTTGTCCAGACCAAGCCAGGAAATATAAAGATAAAATATGCATGTCTGCCACTATGGAAAGTTCCTTGAGCAATCCTTTGCACTGCAACTTTTAAATAATTAGAAATAATGACTGATGTGACACAAAGAGCTGCCTTGAATCACACGAGATTTTAGTACCTTTGCTGAACCAACTAAAAAACACCAATCACAATGCTCACCGTTTCTGTATTCAGAATATATTCAAGTACCTCAAATTTGTCTCTCTTCATTTCTACTCAAATGAAACCTTTATCACCAAATGTATTTTGTTTTTAAATTCAAGTCCTCTAATGCAAATCTGTGGTAACAATCTTTAAAAAATGATTAAGTTGACTTAACTTACCCTTTGTCTGAAGTCTGAATCAGCATTTGGATTTAGCCCTAAAAGAGCCTGTTCATCCATCCCTGCTGCTATTCTTGGAGTTTTCTGATTACAATAGGCGTGCCCTCTGATCCCACACAAGAATCCACAAACATCTGCACACACACACAAAACATCAAAGAAAACAATACTTGATACAAAATTGATGCTTATCCAGAATATCGTAACAAGTGGATGACATTATGCAAATAAGTGTAAATGTTGAAAGAACTTCTTTTGAAACTACCCAAAATTACAACTAAAGGAAACTAAGTCTCAGAAGAATAGGCCTACTAAATACCCCACAAATGTGTAATTTCTAAAAATCTAACATATGCAATTAATGTTCTCAAATTTTCTTATTCTTCAAGATCATCAAGTATACAAAGTAATTCTTTTCTACTTTAAATAGAAGCATCTCATTTATGCAGTGTAATCATCCCCAGTAGTTAAAAGTGCAACTCTGCAACCATATTAAAATATGACAAATCTAGATTATCTTATTATACTAATTTGCCTACTTCCATTTACCAATATCACAAACCTTTAGGAAAAAAAACAACTTAGAATGGCTGATTAAATAGTAACCTTGGAGTTCAATATCCTTACTGGAGTGTCTATCAAGTACTTCAAGGTAAGTCAAATGAAAGAGGAAGGAGTAGACGAGTGAAAAACCAGTCATTTAACTTTTAAACAATGGACTCTGGACAATTTTAGAAATGTATTTCAAAAACATTTTTTAATAGTAGCTATAAAAATTGATAAACCAGAATTAATACTGACTATTCTTAAGAACATTTTTTTTAGTCAGTATAAGGTCTAACATTCTCAAATAAGAACATGATTAAGCCCCAAAAGGCAGCCTGGTTTTTGATAGAATATATAACTGAGGGAACAAGGAACAAATTCTAAATGATGTGAAAATCACATTTATTCTCTCAATACCTATGAGGCAGGGAGACCATGCCTACTATTCCCATCAAAAGGCTATAGGGCTTTTTTGGGGGGGGTTAATTATCATAAACCAAAGAGAAGAAACTTAAAGAAGCCAAGAAACTAAAGGCAGGGGGTGGGGGCGCACAGCCTTTTTGAAACGGTGAGGCCAGTATCTGACCCAGGCTAGAGGACCCCAACTACAATATGCTTTTCTGTCTTCCCCTGGGCCTGCCTGAAACAAGTAAGTCAGGTTATGTGCTGAGAGCCCTTCAGAAAAGCTCAGCCCTTTCTCTTAAGATTACTATCAAACGTTCAGACTACAGCAAGGCAGGATCCACTGCCCTCAGGGTTAAGACGCAAACTCTTGAATGACTCGCTATTCTGCACCCCAACCCTGCAAGGCCAGTGGTATTCTTTCATCTTTGCACTCACTGCTCTTTTCTTGTTACTTGGTTAACCCTTGCCTGTCCTTCAAAATTCAGCTTCGAGGTCACCTCTTTCAAGAACACTTCTTTGACCCCTATTGTCCAATTCTACCAAACTGGATTAAATGCCCCCATATAAGTGCTAATATGTTGTTACTGCCTGCTTATGAGTTTTCTCTCTATAATCTTAAACGGAAAGGACCATCTTAAATATTCCTCATTATGTCTCTAGGACATAGTAGCACATAGGCTTTGGGTTTGGAAATACCTGGGTTTGTATTCCAATCTAGTCATTTTCAAACTGGGGCCATATGGACAACTAGGAAATGTGAGAGAGCCCTCTCTATGAAGTGGGAAAGAGAGGGTCTACCTCATACAGTTGCAAAGACTTCAGTGAGATAAGGTATGTAAAGGATGCCTGGCACATAGTGGGCCCTCAACAGATTATGTATAATTCAGAGCTAGTCACATGGGGAATGGGAACTACTTGGAGCAGTCTTGATTTATCATCTCATACTAATAAACGGGCATTTGAATAGATGAAAATACAAAAAAAGGCAGTGGTTTTCCTCCCCTATCCCTGCCAAAAATGGCAAGAAAATTTAACGATTCCCTGGAAAAATGCAAACACAAAAAAGAAATTTTGAGTTTCTGTGAATCCCAGATTAATAAGTCCTATGAGGGGGCGCCTGGGTGGCTCAATCGGTTAAGCGGCTGCCTTCAGCTCAGGTCATGATCCCGTGGTCCTGGGATGGAGCCCTGCGTCAGGCTCCCTGCTCAGCAAGCCTGCTTCTCCCTCTGCCTGCTGCTCCCCCTGCTTGTGCTGTGTCAAATAAATAAATAAAATCTTTAAAAAAAAGTCCTATAGGGGTGCCTGGGTGGCTCCCCGTCGGTTAACTGGCTGCCTTAGGCTCACGTCATGATCCCAAGGCAAGGTCCTGGGATCTATCTATCCGTGCTCCCTTCTCAGGAGGGAGTCTGCTTCTCCCTCTCCCACTCCCCCTGCTTGTGCTGTCTCTGTCAAATAAATCAATCTTAAAAAAAAAAAAAAAAGTCCTAAAGAGATTCTTTGAATTTAGGGAAAACTGCTTAAGCTTGGTCAAGTCACTTTAATTCTATCAAGCAAAACAGCACTGGTCTTAAAAAAACCTGGCCAATAAATAACCTAAGGAAACATAAACTTGCTACAGTTGTCAGTACAGAAAGAATTCCCCATAGAGAAGGAACCTGTATAATAATCAATATGCAGTGGAACATAACCATGAAACGGTGAATTACCTACAGTGTGCAAACAACTGAAAAGTTACCACCTGTGCAGAAAAGGTAACAGTTCCCTCAGTTAAAGGTTGTGCATGAACACATAATGTTCTAATGTGGCACAGACGTGCAGGCTTAAACATTTGTTACAATGCGATAAACACTTCAATTATGCATCTAGTAAATGTTTTGGGAAAAGGCAAGCAACATACTTAAAATATTAAGCCCGAACTTTTCTTTGGTAGCCATTAAATAAATCAAACAATCTGGGGAAATTCCTCCACACCTACTAGAGACTGTTCAAAGACCAGGACTGAATCTTTCCAGTCTTTTAACACCACGCTGACAAGTCGCTTTAATAAAATGTAACTTCCCCCCGTAACAACTAATTAGCACTTTCAAAAAGTACTCGTTTCTTCTGGTTACAGGGAACCGTTACGCTTGTCTACTCCTGCAGAACTGTGAGGAAGGGAAGAGAAGAAATGGCGTGTCTGTGCTGGCAAATTACTACACAGAAATAACACTTTTCTCCTTTTTGTCCTGGGGCAGGGGGGGTGGGAGCAAAGCAAGTCTGAGGGTCTCCGCAGTTGAAACTAGTGGGACATGGTCCTATTACAAATGAGCCTGGTCACTTCCACTACATTAGGGGTCACAGACGATGCCAAGCCCCCTTGGCCGCCCTTGCCCCTTCCTCACCCCCTCTCCGTCCCTCCCCTAAAGAAAGCCTCGTGGCAATTCGGGTGATGAAACACCCAGCAACGGGCGGCCACGCACTCGGGCCGCGCTCCGCGGCGACGGCCGCAGCTCGTACCCACCCCCACCCAGTCCGCCCAGCATCGGGGCGCTACCGCCATGGAGGGCCCCCGGCCCGCACCCCTCCCCAGCGGGGGGCTCCCTGGGCCAGTCCTCCCGGCTAACTTCCCCGCAGCCTCGCACGGACCCACTGGGTCCGAGTCCCGCCGCCCCCGAGCTCCGAGTCACCTTCCCTATCAGTCCATCCCGCCTCCCCGCCTGCACTCCCGAGGGCTGGTCAGCAGCGCGGAGCGGCGCCGCACGCAGGGAGCGGAGAGAGCGGCCCTCGTCCTTGTCGCCGTCGTCCTCCGCCACGGCCGCAGCGCTAACGCCGGAGACCGAGCTGGCCGGGGCCGCGAGCCGCTCCGCGTCCCCTGGCGCCTTCTTTTGCGTGGCGCCCGGCCGGCAAGCTAGCAAGCAGGCGGGCGGGGTCGACGCCCCAGGAAGGGAAAGAGCGCGAGGGGCCGGCTAACGCCGCCGCCGCCGCCGCCTTCGTCGCCGCTGAGTCAGCGCGAAGCGCGCTCCCCGCGTCGGCGCCGCGCGGACCAGCACCAGCAGCCTCATGGAGAGTGCGGACGGCAGGCCGCGGGCCCGGGCCGGGAGCCTACAACTCCCGGCATGCAACGGGCAAGGGGGCGCTTCCGGACGCTCGCCGAGGCCTGTGGTGCATGCCGGGATGGGGCGTCCGGCGCGAGTCCCTCCCACGCCGCTGAGTCTCGCGTGGGTCCTAGCCGCCGGTCGGGTGTGCTTAGAATGTTCCATAAAGGCTTCATTAGGTAGTTGGTAGGTTAGAGTATCGAGCTCCTGAGATCCAGATGACGTAGTCCAAACCACGTGTGATTTAATTGCTCTTCTATGGTCCCACGTGTTTAGGGTCCGGGAGCGTGAGGATCCTCTCAGGAGCGCTGAAAGTTCTTAAAACTTCACTTTAAACGTACTAATATATTATCATTCATGAAAAGGAGAGCATTCTTAGGGAGTTCTCGTAGGTTACTTCTCTGGTACTGTTACTTCGTTTATTCAGAGGCAGTATTGGCTCAAGTTGTCTACATTTGAATCCCCGCCCCAACCCACCCTCTTTCCCCTCCCACACTTGACCTCAGTTTCAGGCACTTTACATAATCTAGCTGTATTTCAGTTTACTCACTTGTAAAATGGGGACAATAGTACTGACTTCAAAGGGTTCTTGTGAGGACTGGGATAATATATGTTTGCATACAATAAGTGCTCAATTAGGTTTCATTGTTGCTTATTCACTACTGAATACAGACTTGGTTGCAGTCACTCAAACTATAGTGAGGAACAAACAAAAACTTGGGAGGGGAAATTCGGAAAAGAAGTAGAATAAAAGTACTGTAACAGTTTAGCAGCTACATTTGTTTAGTGACCCACCATGCGCAAGACACTACACTACGTATTTCATATATACAATATTTTGCATCACGTTTGTAATTTTAAAATGTCAGGTAAGGATTCCTGCCCTCTTTCAGTGTATCTCTGGAGTCTAGCACATAGGCCAGTGCCAGCCTGTAGTTAAAACTCAGTAAGTAGGGGCGCCTGGGTGGCTCAGTCGTTAAGCGGCTGCCTTCGGCTCAGGTCATGATCCTGGGGGTCCTGGGATCAAGCCCCACATCGGGTTCTCAGCTCAGCAGGAAGCCTGCTTATCCCTCTACTTCCCCTGTTTGTGTTCCCTCTCTGTGTCTCTCTCTGTCAAATAAAATCTTTCAAAACAAAACAAAAACCTCAATAAGATAATTGCATGGATTGAGTCTTACATTACCTATGTCCCTCAACTATGGACTATGGAGACCCAATATTAATCCTAGTCTGAGTGGCTCCAAAATCTTTAATATATTCAGTCTATGTATGTTCCATTTACCTAGTATCTACAGCTTATCTATAGTTTATCTAGCGACATTGGCCCTTTATGGTAATTAAAATACCTAGGATTATAAAAATCTTTCAATTTTGAAAACTTACATTATTTTGAAACAAAGAAGCACTTGGTGGAATCCAACTGAAGAGGACCGGAAAGTGTTATTAAATTTGACCACTTTATAGTCTGGCTTTCTCATTGCAGACTAACAAAATAATATGAAAATGTTAATAGGGACGCCTGGGTGGCTCAGTCGGTTAAGTATCTGCTTTCGGCTCAGATCATGATCCCAGGGTCCTGGAATCGAGTCTGTACATCTCCCCCTCCATCTGCCTGCCGCTCCCCCTGCTTGTTCTCTCTCTCTCTCTCTGTCAAATAAATAAATAAAATATTTTTTTAAAAGTTGATAAATAACATTGTCATTATTTTAATTTAAAGCATGTATACTTGCACATAGCAATGTTTTTACGTATTAACTGCCAACATTTTGGAGCATTTATTATGTGCCAGAAACAGCTTTAAGTGTTCCTAAATTAATCCTCACAACAACTCTATGAGTTAGGTATTATCATTAACCCTATTTTATAGATAAGGAAACTGAAAGTAGCAGAGCTGAGATTCAAACGCACTTCATATGTACTGGAAGGTTTATCTCTAGGTGGTGAGATTGCAGATGATTTTTTTTCATACTTGTACATTTCTGGATTTTAAAAATCCTCCACAATGTGATGTAATGAGCACTGGGTATTATATAAGACTGGTGAATCACTGAACTCTACCTCTGAAACTAATAATACACTCTATGTTAATTAATTGAATTTAAATTTTTTAAAAAGTAAAAAAAAATAAAAAGGCAAAAAAAAAAAAATCCTCCACAGTGACCATGTAGTATTGTCATAAGCAGAAAAACATTAAAAAAAAAAACTGACTCTAATAAAAGGAAAAAAGAAATAGTTTCATTCACTCTTTGAGCATTTATTGAATGCTATGTCCCTTATGAAGCATTTTCCAGATTTCTTCAACTAGGTTTGTTTAATCATTTCTTTGATGTTGCTTTTTTTAAACCTCTTTATGTCATGAATATATCCTAATATGTTTTTGTTTTGTCTTAAATTTGTGCGGTTGTCTTACCTATGACTCAATTCTTGAAGACTGAAAATAAATCTTATCTTGATTCTGTTTATGGATAGTGATTTCTCAGTAAATATTTGTGAGATGCATTGAATTGAATCAAAAATAATACAGTTGTGAGCTGCTAACCCCTGAGTTCTGTGTCAACTTCTCTTCTTCATATGCTTCATCTCAATGCTTGTTAAGCCCGGTGCCATTGTCACCAAAAGCTCATTCATTCAAGATGGGTTTCCTGGCAGAGGAAGAAGTTGGAAAATAGGTCAGGTAAGCTGTCTTTACTGGTCCTAGTCCAATCATTGTTTTTTCTTAGAGGAAGTGGGTGTGAGGCAGGAAGCCTGAAGCAGACTAGAGCACTGAAGCATTATTTAGTAAAGGAAAAAAATTTTATTTTTAATCCAAAACACTGTACAGTCCCTTAGGCTTCATTATAATGACATCTCTCCTCCATGTCAGTTGATTGCTGTTAATAGTCATTTAAATGGTCAGTATCCACTGATACTGAATAGAAACACCAAGAGATTCCTAAATCAGACACCTTTAAAAATTCAGGTTCTATTTACCTACTACAGATTGCAAGTTTCTTTCTATGTGCATTGTCTGTCTTTAGTTTCAAATTGGGAGATGGGAACACTTGGGATCCTGGGATTGAAGAATATTTCTAGTTTGAAATCCTTACAGGGTTCTTATGACCTATGGCTACCTGACCACTTATCCACAAAAATCACAACTTAAAAATGCCATTTTTTGGTCTGTGTGTATATATGTAGATTCGATTTTTGCCTTGAGCTTTAATCTAAAGTTTAAAAAGTTAGGCTAGCATCCAACAGACAAGAATTTGATATTACTTTGTATATGGGGAACCAAATGCCCATATATACGCCAGGAAATCACAATTTGTTCAATTTATTTTTAAAACCCTTAAATAGGATTTACTCTGTTTCAGGTACCTGTCATAAAGTACTTCAGAACATTGTTAATCCTCATAATAACCCTATGGAGTTGGTACTATTACCACATTTCACAGATGGGAAAATTAAGGCACTAAGAAATTAACTCGTCCAAGATCATTTAGCTCCTGAATGTGACAGCTGAAATTTGAACCCAGGTCATCTGGCTCTACAGTCCTATGCTCATAATTACTGCCCTTCTAAACTAATTGAATTGACCATCCCTCAACCTAAGGCTACTCTGTTCTGGTGAAAGTTCTTCTGGTTAAGGAAAATGCCTTAGGGATTAGTTCTGGGTAAGTAATGTTCCATTACTTTTGATAGTTTTATCAAGAAACATCTATTAAGTGCTTTATTGCACAGGAATTGTACTAAATGTTTCTTGAGTTTAGATGGACTTAGAAGATAAAGAGTAATTGCCTATCTCGGATGTATTTATGTCAATTATCCACATAAAGCTTACCAAAAGATAAGGAAATACAAATTATTAATACGCGTCTATAGTGCTTTTAGAATTCATAATTCATTGCATTTGATCCTCATACCAACTCATTGGTTGGCCAGGCAAGTATTGGTAGTTTCATTTTACAGATGATGAAACACTGAAGTCCAAAAAGGTTAAGAGACTTTCCAGAAATCTCACAGATACCGAACAACAGGGTTTGCGCTGTAATCCAGGTCTCCTGACTCCAAATCCAGTGATCTATCCCCTCTATTAAGGCCCTTTCCTGCGATCTGAACTTTGTTGTTACCTTGGCAACAGTGTAGAACACTCAGTGCCTGAAAACCATGATGCTGCCTTTTCTGTGTGCCACAAACTTGAAAGTTTAGCTGAGGTCGCCTTAACCAGCACTACTTTTGTCAAATTCCCTTCTGCACTGGCTTCATCTTAATGTTTGTCAAGTCTAGAGCCTTGTCACCAAGCTCATTTATGATGGGTGTCTTGGCAGATAGGTCAGGTATACTGTCTTTTCTAGTCCTGCTGCAGTTATTCTGTATCTGTTAGTCCCAAATAGGGAGCAAAAGCCTGACGGACACTAAATAGCAGCTTGGAATGAGGCTTTTTCCCAGGCTTGGGCTTCACATTTCACTTCGGATGTAGTCATTGGCCTCTGAACGGCTCTTGTGAGGCAGCTCTTTGGCAAAGGTAAAAGGACTTTGCCTTCTGTTGGTTTGAGGCAACAAACTGTGTAGAGTGGTTTTGATAGGGGATAGTCTTTTTTTTTTTTAAGATTTTATTTATTTATTTGACACAGAGAGACAACGCGAGAGAAGGAACACAAGCAGGGGGAGTGGGAGAGGGAGAAGCAGGCTTCCTGCTGAGCAGGGAGCCCGATGCGGGGCTCCATCCCAGGACCCTGGGATCATGACCTGAGCCCAAGGCAGATGCTTAATGACTGAGCCACCCAGGTGCCCCTGGATAGTCTTTATTTTAGAGGAAACAGTCATGCCTCTGGGGCCCCCTTCTTATCCACCTATGAAGTTATGAAGAATCAGACAGATGTCTGATCAGATTCTAAGAAAACTTGGAATGCTAGGTCATTTAAGATTTTGTCAGCAGGTGGCACTTCTCTCCTTAGTCACTAAATACAATCTCTCCAATAAAAGAAATACTGTTTTTCTTTGCTGCTATTGAGTTCCTCAGAACTGGTTAGCCACCCGAACATTTCTCCTCAGTTCCTTTTTGCAGTGATTCAGTCTACAATATCTGTTTATGTATTTTAATTTGTTTATACTTTCCCCATAAGATTTGAAATTGTTTATAGCATACAATATACAACAGCAAAATATGAGGAGGAGAATATGAACCGCAATAAAGAATATACAATTTGATTCTGAGTTGTGGGTAGCTGGAGCAAAAATACACACAAATGTGTACCATTACTTTGGGTGAATGGGCAGGGAGAGAGAATGACTTTTCTAGAATTTGAAATTAAAATGGAAGTTGTTACCTAGGGTTATTAGAGGCAAGTTTCTATGCCCTTCTCATCTCTCTAACTTAATTTATAATAAGTGACTCCTGATCTGTAAAAAACGAAGCAGTACTTTTACTGTCATGACGCTTCAAGGGTGCACAATTAGCGTTCCTCCACCTCTGGTCCTCAACGTTTCAAGATGCGGGCCTCCTCCATTCATTTATCCTACACAGATTGAGCTCTGACGGTCTACAGGGTTTTGTCCTGCACCTTGGGAAGACAAGCATACCCTTTAGGCTTGGGCGTACCAAATCAATTTATAAGATTTCCTTCAGAGAGAGCGCTTTCAATTAGTTGGAGAGAAAAGATCTACGTTCATACTCATGAATAACTAGAGGACTCTATCAGGCAATGTTACAATCAAATGCTAAATCTGTGCGATTGGTCTTCGTAGGATTCCAGGGTTGTTCTGCCTATTTAAAAATAAATGGGGGGGCGCCTGGGTGGCTCAGATGGTTGAGCGTCTGCCTTCGGGGCTCGGGTCATGATCCCGGAGTCCTGGGGTCGAGTCCCACATTGGGCTCCCTGCTCTTTGGGAGCCTGCTTCTCCCTCTGCCTCTCTCTCTGTCTCTCATGTATAAATAAATAAAAATCTTAAAAAAAAAATAAAAAATGGGTAAATTTCATCTCGTTTCTAACAGAAAACCAGTTTGAAATTGTGGATTCCCTCATCAATACCGTCTGTTAGAAATGGCGTGGTCCTCAATAGCTGAGGCGGGCGGGGGTGTTGGGGGCTGCTGTGAGCAGAGGACGAAGAGCGCCCCTAAATATCCGTCCCACAGCCCACGGGATGCTTGATGATGATTTACCGAAGGACCAGCGTCTCGCCCCGTCCACTGTTGGACGGGCACCGAAGTTGGGGGCCCTGCTCCCTGCGCCCGGGGAAGGTGGCGGCGGCGGGGCGGGCGGCTTTGTGGCGCGCGCGGGTTCCACCGCAGGCGGCGCGGAGGCGGGGCCGGGCAGAGGTGTCCGCCCCCCCTCTCCCCCGCGGCCCCGGCACTCGCTCCGGGCAGCGGGCGCCGCGCATGGCCGGCTCCGCAAGGTCTGGCTTCCCTGCGCAAACGAATAGCCGTCTGGACGCGTTCCTGCGGAGGCAGTTGCCGCCCGAGGTCTACGACGACGCCATCCGCGCCTACGAGCCGTGCATCGTGGTGTCCGACTCGGAGAAGCACACCTTCAAGTACGTGGTGCTCAGCGATCGGCTCATCTACCTGACGGAGAACCCGCCCAAGTCCATACGGCGAGCCGTGGCGCTGCGGGACGTCGTGGCCATTGACCTGGTGAGGAGCGCGGGCGGACAGGCGGGCTCGCGAGATCTCCCTTCGTGGGTCCCCCAATTCCAGCCCTCTGCATGCGGGAAGAGGGAGGAGGCGGCCGACCTTCCCCATCCCTCCCTGGACTCCCTACTTTCAACTTACTTCAGGACTAGAAGCCACAGGAAAACTGTGGGTTGCTGTGTGTACTCCGATTAAAGATGCCTTGCCCGTTCTCATCATGTGTACTGGTCATCCCTTGTCCCCCCCAAATAGGGCTACAGGTTTGAGAACGTAGCCCCCTATGAAAAGTATGCTTTAAAGTCATTTTTTTCGTTCATTAAGCACTTAACCTGTTCCAGGCACTTGTTCTAGGCACTGAGGATGCAAAAATGAAATAGGGCCTCTTCCTAGAAGCTGCTGTGGGAGAGAAAAAGCCCAAACCAATGCAAATAAATGCAGTGTGCTAAGTACTATTATGCCTTGTTTACTTTATCAACAGTGCTTAGAGCTTGTTAGGTGCTCAATATGAATAAGTGAGTGAATGAATGAATGAATGAATGAGATGTGCAGAGGACACCTGGCAATCTCAGGCAGGTCACTTGATCCAAACTGGGCTTCAAAACTTCTTGAAGAAGATACAGTTTGGCATAGACACGCCTTATCCCAGTTTTAAGTGTGCTGCTACTGTATCCCTTTCCTCCAGGAATAGATTTACCTTATAAACCCAGCAACAGATTGGAAGCAGTCTCCTCTCCACTTACAGTTTTTTCCCCCTTGGCTCCCTTTGTCTGAGTTGCTCTCCAGGTGTGTTCCTTTTTCCACTAGGGACAGATGTCTAGCCTCATACCCCGTCTCCCCCGTCTCCCCCGCCCCTCCCTCCAGTCTCTGCATCTCCCAAAGGAGAAGTTGACAAGACTTGGTGGGGAGAGAAGCATAGCTTGTTTGGAACACATCTGTAAGAAAATGATACAATTTAGTGAAAAAAGTGCTTTTATTTTTTCTCCTTAAAATACCTCTGTCAGCTAATACCACTATGCAAATTTATTTGTGGGGTTTTTTTGTTTGTTTGTTTTATGTTTTTTGTTTTAGAGTAAAAGTTGGAAGCAAACTGCCTTTTTCCTATTTTTCCTATTTCCTCACTATTTTCATTCTCTTGAAATAAAATTTAAAACAGTTAATTTCCTTTATCAAATGCTTTTAAAACATTACATGCTTAGCTTTTTCTACTGTCTGCGGTGTAAACATTTATTGTTTTGACAAAATGTTATGATTTTACGATATTGTTACTCTCCCCGACAAGACACAGTATATTTATTCCAATGGTTGTAATATATCTTTCTTTTTGAGCTGTCAGAATCTGAAAAGTACGTAAAGTTTCCTAGGCCTTCAAGCCAAAAATCCTCCCAAAAGGCGTACCAATTCATTTGGACATCTTTATGTACAAAATTTACCTTTCGGGCATATAGAAGACTGTGTAAAGGTGCTGAACAAATCTAAGATTTCAGCACTGTTGATAGATTAAATGTCCATCTTGCACAATATAGTTGTGGCAGGCAGAATAATGGCCCCCAAAAGATATCCCTGGAAACTGTGAATCTGTTACATTACACGGCAAAGAGGAATTAAAGTTGCAGATGCAATTGAGATTGCTTGCTAATCAGCTGATTTTAAAACAGGGAGATTAAAAAAAAACCAAAGTGTCCAATAAATAAAGAAACCCAAAAAAAGAAAAGAAAGAAGCCAAAATAAGTAAAATAGGGAGATTATTTTGGATTATCTGGGTGGGCCCAATGTAATCACAAAATCCTCCAGAGTGAAAAGGGAGGCAGAGCGCTGCAGCACAAGAGACTTAGTTCTGAAGGTGGAAGGGGCCAGAAGCCAAGGAATGTGGACAGCCTCTAGAAGCTGGAAAAGGCAAGGAAACAGGTTTTCTCCTAGAGCCTCCAGAAGGAATGCATTCCTCCTGACACCTTGATTTTAGCCCAGTGAGACCCATTTTGGACTTCTGACCTCCAGAACTGTAAGAGAATAAATTTGTGTTGTTTAATGCCACAGATTATGTGGTAATATGTTACAACAGCAGATGAATAGAAATGTTTCCTATTAATGTTTGTTTATCAAGGGAGAGAGCGAGAGCGAGAGTGAGCACGCGTGCAGGGAGTGGGAGGGTGGGGAGGGACAGAGGGAGAAGGAGAGAGAAAATCTTAAGGAGGCTTCACGCCCAGCAAGGAGCCCAACTCGGGTCTCAATCTCACAACCCTGAGACCGTGACCTGAGCTGGAACCCAGAGTCTGATGCTTAACCGACTGAGCCACCCAGGCATCCCAATGATTACCCATTTTCAACAACATTAATAGGATGGGGTGCCTGGGTGGCTCAGTCGGTTAAGCATCAGACTCTTGATTTCGGCTCAGGTCATGATCTCAGGGTTGTGAGACTGAGACCTGAGCTGGGCTCCCCACTCAGTAGATAGTCTGCTTGAGACTCTTTCTCTCTGCCCCTTCCCCCCCCCAATAATTAAAGAAATCTTTTTAAAAAATTGGTAATCACTTTTTAAAAATATTGTTTCAGTGAGAAATAAATATAATCAGACTGAGTACAAATGCCTTAACAATCTCTTTTTCTGAGGTTTTATAAAATAATTCTCTGTGGAGAATTTTCCTGATTTCTGGGTTATATGTCATATAGTCACTTATCCATGCTAACTCAGTCCCTTCAATTACGTGATTTCAGTGCCAGGCAGCTTTGTTTTTTAGAACCGGTTCCTCCTTCCTTGAAAGATAAACTGTTTACTCTCCTTTTTTTTTTTAGGGTGCTGTCCTCTTTCTAAGGTCAACTCTTTAGACATCCTTTTCCATTCTCAAAGGTTTTCTCATTTTACTGTACACGTCTGTCTTGTTATTTAACTTTCAGCCGGTTCAGGTTCCCATCCTGCTTTTGTTCTAGCTGTCACAGTAATAAAGTCCCTAAGCAAACCAGTCCTTTATACCTCTGGGCCCCAGCCCTCCCGGTTCCATGTTCGACCAGATTCCTTATTTATTTCAAGACACGTTTTGCAGTTACACTTCAGAATATAATTTGCAAATATACAGATAAAATTCCATTCTCTCCCCTAAGGAAAAAAAATGAAGGTAACAGCAACAAAAAGATTAGGCCAGATCTTGCATTGAATAAAAATGAGATTTCCCTTCCAGCAGAGATGAGCTTGAAGTGCACTGGGAGATCTCTGTAAGTGTTTGATCTGGTTCACCTCCTAAAAGAAAGGTTGCTAAGGTTTCTAAGGTTGCTTGGGCAGAGCTTTTATAAAAAGGCTGACATTTTCTTTAACAGTTACTTTTGGAAGAATTCTGCTCTTGTTGTGGGCATCAAAACATTTCTTTAAACTCTTCTAAGATTAAACACATATTTTTTAAGTGTGAGAAGCAACTATCCAGAAGCGAATTTCCTAGGAATTCACTCTCCTTCAATGCCATCCCATCATCTACAGAGAAAAACAAATCTGTCAAATCCAGCAGCCTTCACCTCTTAGCCTCTTGCCGGGCTTTGTCCTTGTCTTTTCACCACTCCTCCCAGTGAGTATGGGCTCTCCAGCCATCCCAGGCTCCAGGTGGCTTCCTGAACAGGCAACCAATGCACCTTTTACAGCCTGGCCTGTTGCTCATGGTGAACATGTCCTCCTCCTTCAAGGCTGTTCAGATCCTCATATTTATAATCCTCTCTTCCTCTCTCTCCTCTTAAAACATGTCAAAACAGGGGCGCCTGGCTAGCTCAGTCAGGAGAACACGTCACTCTTGATCTCCGGGTTGTGAGTTTGAACCCCACGATAGGCGCAGGGTTTACTTAAAAAAAAAAAAAGTAAAAACATCTTGGCTTGAACAGAAACAGGTCACAGGCTGTGTGTTGAAGGGGCTGCAAGAGTTTGCCAACTGATCCCCACTTTCCTCACTGCTGTATGCAGAGCCGACACGTTTCTAGGCTAAGCCCATCATTTTTTTTTTTTTAAGATTTTATTTATTCATTTGAGACACAGAGATACAGAGAGAGAGAGAGCACAAGCAGGGGGAGAGGCAGAGGGAGAGGGAGAAGCAGGCTCTCCGCCGAGCCAGGAGCCCGACGTGGGGCTCGATCCCAGGACCCTGGGACTATGACCCGGGCCGAAGGCAGACGCTTAACGACTGAGCCACCCAGGTGCCCCTAAGCCCATCATTCTTTCTCTGAGTTTTTTCTTGGCTAGACCATGAGGCAGGACTTTCAGTCTGTTTTGTTCATTGCTGTATCCCTGGTTCCTAGAACATTGCCTGGGACAGATGAGATGGTCAATAACTATCTGTTAAATACTCAACATAAGCCATTTCTTCTGTTTCTAAATTTATTATCTGCAATATACATTTGACATTTAATAATACATTTTTTAATAATACATTTTCATTCAGTTTTTGCTCTCTACCTGTGTAGACTTGGTCCAGTTATTTACCTTCTAGTCTGTGCCTTCATTCCTCATTTTGTAAAATGGAGATTAACAGCACCTTCCTTAGAGTGTTGGGGAGGATTAAATTCATTAGTAATTGTAATACACTTAAAACAGTACTTGGAACATGGTAAGAGCTACATACATGTTATTATTGATAACCTTTATTCACACATATTAAGTCTATTAAGGCTCACTATGAATCAGTAATATAGATATTATCTTCCCTTTTCATATCAGGGCACTTGAATTTAGGAGATTTAGTAAATTTGGAAAGAAAATAACTTTTGAGCACTGATTATATACTAGGTGTTTTAAATACATTATCTCATTTATTCTTCTTGAAAATCGCCCAGTAGGTTTGTCAAGTTTAATATGTCCAAAAACAGAATTCCTGATCTTCACCCCCAAATCTGTTCCTTTTCCTTAGCTTTCCTTATTTTAGGAAATAACATCATCTTCCATCAGCCTTAATCTTCTCACTCCCCACATCCAACAATCAGTGTACCCCTTTGATTTGTGTAGAGGAGGAAAAAGTTTCCCTTGACTCTCTCAG